AGTTGAGACAATTGCGATTCTCTCACGCAACCAAAGACTGTGCACTCAGGAAGCAATCGTACACACATTGAGACTTTCGTGGTCCGTACACGCGACCGCTAGTCACTCTGGTCAGTGGATCATGACGTAAACAGCTTTCACCCTTTCGCCCATAGACTCAGTTGATATTCATTTCATTCCATTTATACGTACCACTTGCCTCCAGTTTTGCAATTTCCTGATCTCTTTTGACCAGAAGAGATGAGGAAAGTGTTGATTTTGTCAACTTGCGTTCTGAGTTTAACAATGGCTCCTATGTGTGATTTACTTACTCGCAAAACTAATATCGGCGACCGCTGGTGAAGGACACTGAATTCAACAATTTCAAGGATAGCTTCCTGGACTAAAATCATTCCGTTTTTAAGAGTACCACTGTTCGTGGTAGGTCTAGGGAATTTATACAAGTATCACAACAGAACACTACTCATGCGATTGCTCAAAACTCTTCGGCATCCCACTGCCAGCTTCACCATAGTTGGGGCTCATTAGTAAGGTAAACCTAGTTGCTCAGTTTCTGCCAACCTTGTGTTCTAAATGAAGACCAGATTGCATATCAGTGTTGAAATATGCTCATTTGCAAACTGTGTTGGTGCTGAGGAGGGACTCAACTAAATCTCTCGTCCATGGTATGCTTCAACTGAATGTGCTGCAGCTACCTGCCCCACCTACCCCGAATCATCGGTGAACGAAACTGTGACAACCACAACCAATGTACGACAAGTACGCGGTTATTACAGCTGATGATGCATAAAGACCGCATCGTGTTTCAGTTGGTACGGCAGTCGTAGTATATTTTCTTGACGTTCGCTGGCTATCGGATTTTTCAGCAACCTCATGAATGGTGCGTTATGTCAAGAAAATGTAGACCGGATTCATGCTTTGGAAGAACATTGGGCACAACGGTCTTTCAGGGTCGTATGCACTCACAATACCAGATGTAAATTTTTCGTCCTAAGGACCATGTGATGGAACAGTGTGACAGATTTGCCGCCAAATCTGACCATCCAAGCCAATTACATCACACAGCCAGGAGCATTTACGTCCAAATATGCAGCTAAGCAGAACGGTGGACAACACCACAGGAAGGACTTATTGCAACATAAGGGCGTACTTTTGTGCCTGAGGGGTAGAAATTCAAAAGTTCAAGATGTCTAGAGTGACAACAGATATGTTTATGGCTGACCACGTATTGTTCCGAATCTTTGTTATGACGTGCAATCAACCCCAAAGTGTATTCAAGCGTTCAGCTGTAGCAACCTTCCGGTGTCTAGATGCCATGCCCCCCGAAGGGAACACGAGGGCTGGGATACTGCCACGTTGCCCAAGCCTAGACAGGGGAAGTCGAGTGGCGGAGGTCGGATTCGAACCACGAACCTTCCGGTTAGTAAATTCGCGCTCTAACCACTTCGGCCATCTCGCCCCCAAGCGTTGAGTGACGAGTAGTGCACACACACACATAGCAAACAGAAAATCCTGTTGACTGTGCTGTGCTAATCCATATTACCAATGCAGATCCACCGACCCGGGATCAAATTTCCATTGACCGAGATGCATTATGACGCTTTCGAGTAGCCAAATCATCATGGAAACTTACCAACTTCAAGGCGGATGAAGATGGTGGAGTAGTTCTACTGAGCCGCAAGCAAGATAAACTCTGTAATGTGTTCAACGCCGGGGACAATTCATGAAGAAGTAGCTTAAGAGTACAGTGAAACGTTGCGATACAAAAACCACACAAGTGACTGTGGGACTCGAAACCCGATGTCAAGTGGGACAGCCATAAGAAAACTCAAGCCTAGACTCTTCTACCACCAGTGATTGTCATTCGTCACTTTGCTACCATGGTATTTCCCAATGGTCGCGTGAACTCTTTCAGAGAGTACACAGTTTCGTCTAAACATACTCTTAAGGAATACTTTTCATCATTTCCATTACACTTTTTGACCAGAAATCGTTGGGTAAATTACGCATTCCCTCATCACTACTTACTTCTGTCCTTTTTTAAAAAAATTTCGGACTTCATCATCGGAACAAATTCACAAAAACAGCCACCAGTAAGACACTTTAGTGACCCTAATTAGAGAACTACTTCCAAAGTATATAGTTAGTGTTCTATTCTGCCGTCAAACAAATGGAGTGGCCACTGAAAGGAAATTTCAGCTCTGAAACTCTAGGTTAACCACTTGGATGATACTGTATGTCTCCAGGAGGAAAACCAAAACCCTGTGGGAAATCTACTCCTTTGTCAATGTACGTTCTGCTATAAGCGCGAGAGAATTAAAGCCTGGATTCTTATATATCCGCTTTACTTGAGGAACTGACGGCAACATACAAGGCGCATGAGTCGTAAGTTTACGTAGGCTGATCAACACGCATACGTGAAATTCGATATGCGATGCTTACGGAACTGAAAAACAAAAGCATGCACGGTGGACTATCATGTGGGCTAGAATTTCTTACAAACGCCCTAAGAATCAAAGGTAATCCGGATCGATTTCCTGAGGGAAACATGAAACACCAAAAAACAAACCTGCTCCGGGAGTCGATCTACCGAGCACTACCATCCAAACGTGACAATGCCTGTGAATTGCCCAAGTAGAGACTTACGAGAGTACTAAAACACATACGTGAGACGGCTTACCTGCAAATAAGCTTCCTTATCCGTTCGATACCAATAAAATGGCTTGAGGATCAATTTCCTTCACAATATACCTCCGTGTATCTAACATTTCGCCTTATTTTGTGCAACATGCTGCATAGAGGAACAACTATATTGCTATCGAAGCGTCTGTCTCAATATATCGTTAGTAACGAAGGATGAACACTTCAATAAATGAACACATCAGACAGGGACTACATCGCTTGAGAAAAATCAAGCTTTTACGCTCATATGTATGATGTCTACCTGGTGAGCCCTGAGTAATGCAAACCCGGCCACGGGCTGCCTGCGGATTTTGAGCAGTCGTTCCATACTACTGGCCAAAAACGAAGAATCAAGCTGGTTTGCACAACTGATGCATCAGGTGGCTTTCATTGGCTCGTAAATCGAGGGCGGAAAAATTCTATGACATCGTTCCAAGGAATTTATCGAATAAGACGTGGCAAGTAGAAAACATTATTACGTGTTTACATACGATCTTCGCAAGTAAGCACGCCCCCAAGAAACGGCATGACACACAACTACAGGAATTATGAATAAAACCCCTACAATATAATTCTGTTGTTCGCCCTTGATTCCGATGTACAAGGAATACCTCACGATGCGTCGTAATAAAGACACGCCAAGAGGCCACCTCCTCGCACGATAGGCTCGGTTATTAGGCCCATTGATTATAT